TAAGTATTATTCCTGAGTATTATACCAATTGACCTGATGCTCAATTGGTATAATACTCCCAAAGTGTGCCAGGAAAATATCCCCCATTTTCACCACCATCAGCCTGAACCATTGATACAAGACAGGATGGATTTGTGCTTTCATGCTGTTGACGCCAAATTCTGGCCCTACCATTCGAATGTTTCAGCAGAACTCATCAGACCAGACAATGTTTTTAAATATTCCATTAGTGTGAACGGAGCATAAAGGTCATAAATGTGCACACGTGTCCAACTTGAAGAATGAGACGCATTTTTGGTGTGCAAAACGCATTCGTTGTGGACCCCGCATTAGGCAGAATCTGATTTAGCCCCCCATATCCTCTTCTCCATCTCCCCTTGCCTTCCTACTAAGAACATCATTATCACTAACAGTGTTTAAACATACATTTAGTGTATAAATCAGATTATTGGCTATTATCTCCTGTTATGTATTTGTGAACCAACCGAGCTCACAGATAGCACCATATTGTAGCCATGGTAACACAACAATCAAACTATCAAAATGATTCTTTGCACTTTTACAAAGTAAACAGCTAGACAACAGTAGTCTTTTAACTTGTTCTACGCTTCACTTCGTTCAGAGGGTCTGGACCTTCGATATTGAGAAACGATTACTTCCTGGAGGAATGGACTGTGTTCATGGGCAAACATGAAGTGCATACTTCACGTTTGCCCATGAAGTATGCAATGCACCAGTTTGACACTATGATGGTTGTTTACCCCGCTCACTGCGGGGTAAACAACCATCCTCCACTGCAAAAAGAGAAGTGCTGATCCAAATGAGGTGGTTGTTCATATTAATTCAATATTTGGAAGCATGGCCAACATGGACTGAATGGCTTCAATTCACTTCCTCCGCTGCCATCTATAAAACTACGGGCAGACTTCAATTCTAAAACAGCACATCATCATTTACAACTTCTGTTCATTGATTGGCCCGGTTTAAATTCTACTTAAATGGGAGAAAGCCCAGACTGTGCTGTAGGCGAGATTAGAGTCGTGTGGAATAATATAGAAGGCAACGGTCAGGCTAAAACAACAGAAGAACAGCAGAAGAAAACTATAGGATCATTAAGCAGAACACAGGAATGAGGCAACTTACAAAGATGAAGAAGTAAATTAGTACACTGTGATGAAGAAGAACTAGCCTAGATAGAAACTAAAGTAACATAAAAGGAGAAACACGGTGAACAATAACTTCAACTCCAAAATTTAAAAAATTCATCAAAGACAATACATAACAGAATAAGCACAAAGACTGAATCAGCTTTACCCAGCTGTTTAATAGTTAAGGTCCAACTGTCATCTGTGAAACATGGGCATCATAACACCTGTTTTTATTATACAAAATGCTAGATATTAACTTATATGCATATGACCATTTGTGACGTTAGAAAACAGCCTTGAACTTAGAAAAAGAGATTTCATATTTTCTTGCAAACCCTGAGTACAGTGATGCCTCGCTATAACGCGGTTCACCTTTCGCGGTCTCGCTGCTTCGCAGAATATTTTTTGGTGCAGCCTTTTTTTCACAGTGCATTGTGTTCTGCGTCCTGATTGGCTAAACAGTCTCCAAGCTCCTTCTCTACCTGTGTGCCAATAACGTACTTAAATATAAGTAATACAGATTGGCCATACAGGAGATGAAAGCTGAAAACTTTGAATGCCTGATGGAAAAAAACTGGCCAGAATCGGCGCAAATCCCGACCAGACTCGCTTGACGAGATCCATCTCTCTGCCGTAGATACAGCTGTGAATCTCATGGGGCAGTTTGGAGGAGACGCTTTAATAACACGACTCCGGATCACATTAAGGCCCGATTGATGCACACGAACATCCGCTGATCTCAAAACAGGTTTGTTCTTTGGTTTCAATGTAGAGTATTTATTTATGCCGTGTAATAATCGTAAAAAATAAAGGTAACTACTTCGCGGATTTCACTTAACGCAGGTTATTTTTGGAACGCAACCCCCGCGAAAAACGAGGGATCACTGTATACCAAAATTTAAGATGTGCTTATGGTAATCGAAGTGGCTTACAACATAGCTGTTCATCCTCGTTGTTCTATTTACACACCAATGAAGAAACAGAATCAAATTTATTTCCATGATGACTTCTGCACCCATTTCTCTTATGTCATATAAATTGATGTCATGTATTAATGAATTGATGAAGTCAACTGAAATACTTCACCTCAACAAAGTCAAACCTGCAGGAGCCTCCTTCAACATCAAACGACAGGAAATTCAATGTGACCACGTAGCCCTCTTGTTGGTTGATGACCCACTCACAGACTTTGTTGTGGGGATAGGGATTTGGGTAGTATGGAGACCGGAACTCTCCAGTTCCAGAAAGGGTACCTCCACAAGCTAGGAAGAGTGGGAAAAAAAAGAAAAAAGAACAATATTCCTATATATGTATTAGTCTGGATGGAAGAAGTATTAACATTTTGGAGCCAGAGCCTGACTTGAATCTGATAGGGATAGTGGCAGTAATAAGTATTGTGACTGAAGAATTGGAGAGAGGGAAGTCTGGGCCTCCTGACTTACCCCCCTGGCTCACATCTGAACTCACTAATGAAGCACATCTTGTGCTTCATTAGTGAGCAAGTGACTTGGAGCTTAATTCTCTTTGATGTAGTTTTACTGCTTTGTGTGTAGCTTTCATGAGGTGTTTTATATCACTGTGTCTAATGATTTGATTTGATCTTTATGCTCTAACAGGTCTGTCTGATAATCCTGTTAGTCTGTCAGTGACGTGAACAGGATGAATTATATTCTTTAAAATAAGATCAATTTTAACAATACTTTCAAGTATATTCATGCATAACTATAAATCTGATAAGTTGGGAAGTGCGCTTAAAAAGATTAAAATATTTGAGGGTTTAAGTGTACCTAAGATGGTCCTGAACATCCTTATACAACCTTCTTTGAGATGTTAGAATGCTCTTTTTAAGTTGGCTGCTTTCCTAAGTTGCTTATAAAGGCTAACTTAGCAAAATGCTCTGCTGATGGCTGTCTGCGAACTGTGAAAAAGGGCTTAGCCCATTCCAGGTGTATTCTCTTTTTGCTTTTTTGCTGCACCATTATTTTTCAGATCATCAAAAAAATTTTAATATTTAAAGAAGGTCTGAGTAAATAGAGAATTCAGCTTTCAAATGATCATTCGTTTATAAAGGAAAAAGTGCTACCCAGGCCAGAATCTCCAGGTTAAATCAGGAATTAGCTGTCATAATTCTGAATAGTGGAGTGTGTTTTCTCTCTATGCTCAGTCTGCTGGAGTAGGGCCTGTTTAACGTTGCAGTCTGCTGCATCTGGAGCTGCTTAGATGCAGTGGATCCCCATTAGTTATGGGGTTTAAGGACCATCACCGCCCTTGAATGGCTGAAATTTGCAGATACTTGAGACTCCATCTAAGCCTGCTTATAACTTTCACTACACAGAAGCTAACATCCTTGGTCTTCCTTGCTGCTTTTGAGGTTCCAGTTAATCAGTGGCAACAAAAATGAATGACACTCCTGGATTGGCTGATTTACAAATATCAAGTATCATTTGACTAGATATTTCAGTTTCTCTCTCTCTTTGAAATATTTTCAATATCCTCCACAAAAAAATTCTGTGAATAGGCATATTTTCATTTGAAGTCATGTACCACAGAAAAATCTGTGATTAGGGATATCCATGAAAACTGGGCTGCAAATAGGCAGGTACAGCAGTTCTTCCTTGGTAGTATCAAGACCTCTCATGATATACTTGACTCCATCATGCATCATTGCTCACACAAGCCGCCCACAAGTGCCAAGGAGTCCTTTTCTTCAAGGCACTTCAAAACAGTTTCTTTACAACAAGGCTTGCCTCAGTTTGTATAAACCTTGTCTGTCCTTCATGTCTCTATTGTTATGGTTAGTATCCAAACAACACAAAATACCACTCGCTTTGTTATGTATAAAACCTCACCAACACTGTAGGCAGCCCTGAAACCAGCTCGGCTGACTGAACTGTCAGACTTAAAACGGATCCAGAGAGAGTTGGAGGACGAGCGAATCGGAGCTGGCAGGGTGCTCCCACAATATTTCCCTATCAGTGGATCAGTCTCCATCCTCCCGTCACGGACCTAAAAAACAAGAAGACAAATGCTGGAGATAAAAAACTCTCAATTTTAATTCAGGCAGGTTACAAATTAAGGCTCAGCATATCAACTGCACATCCCATGATGATTCAGCTCACTTTAAAACATTAAGATCAAATTATTGAGAAAAGCTCTGGATATGCCTAATAATTCAGATTTTGCATAAAAGGTAAAAATAAAAAAAAAATTTACTAAAAAATAATCTCACAAATGATTCAAGCTGAAAATGTAAGTATAATTAATAAGTCTTACCTCCACATAGTCAAAAGAACAATCACTATGATTCTCCAGCTCCAGGTTAGTGAAGTTGAGAGCCACCTGTTCATCTGGAGGCAATCTGATCAAATAAATACACTGCCGGTTGTGGGCATAGTTGTTCGGCCAGTTGGGAGATATTAGGATCCCCTCACTGTCAGTGAATGTACCACCACAGCCAGGATCACCTAAAAAGAAAATAAAAAACATTAAGTACAATGAGCCAAACACTTGTACAGCACTGTACAGCTCTAGTACACGAAACATGTTCAATGTACTACAGTGAATATGGTAATGAAGAATTGAACTAATTCTTCATTACTCGAAAAATATAAGGCAACAAGTTATTTTGACTTTTTTAAGCAGATGCAGTTTTCTGAGTTTACAGAACATTTTGTGATTTGTAACTTAGCATCTTGGATTATATGGCATAAAAGGCATATAGATTGGATGGATGGATAGAATGATATTCAGTTAACCTGATACTGAGCTGTAAAGAACCAGCCTAGACTACAACTTGCTAAACTGTATTGTCGTGGTAACAGATGAGACCTTTTATAGTAACCAGTGTTTACTTTTATTCTTTTATATTTGGGTTATCAGCAGAGGTCGGTGGTAACCAGCTATATACTTGAGTAACTTTTTGGTAAAAGTATGCTTTTAGAAGTAGCTTTACTGCATTGTACATTTTACTTTTACTTGAGTAATGATGAAGTATTGTTACCCATTACCAGATTTGTGGCAACTTTACCCTCTGTGAGTAGCTTTACTGATTGAAGAACAATCATGTTTAAACCAAAATTACATGAAACACAGAGACATACAATTCATGTTAAAGGAAGACTTTTTGTTTGCAAACCAGCTTTGTTGTTCGGTTATCTATCTGTAGATTTTTGTGCCATTTGGAGAATAAAAAGATACAGTAAAACTACATATATTGTCATGAGAAGTACCTTACTCTGTGGTAACATTAACATTTCCATTAGTTTTAGATTAAAAAACTATTTTTTTTTCTTTTAGTCTTCAAAATACCAGAATTTGCAAATAAATTTTATTTTTGTTTATGTGTTGTTGTCATCCATGCATCATAACACCATCTTTAAATACTGAATCAGGTGTTGTGGTTATTTATTCAGCACAGGGTTTTTCATCTCTTGCTCTCGATGAAGGCAAACACTTTTTTCCTCCCTCCCTGCCCTTGCCTGCCCTGCTTGCTCTGTTTTTGTCTTTTTCTATATTTTTGGAGCCTTTCTTTGCACATCATCCAAATCTACAAATTATGGATCTGGTCAACTGATCTCTCAATGCAATTGATCCAATTTTCTCAACGAGAAGTCTGGGCACAGGAGAGCCCTCTTGTCCTGCGGGGACACACCCAGCAGGATTCACCCTGGATTTATTCATGATACCAGGATTTCTGCTGTTTGGAGTTTGCAGATTCCTGGCTTATCGACAAATTTACAGTAAAACGGACTTGGCCGAACTGGCGAACACTCGGACTGTTGGTGTGGACAGAGACGCAAGTTAGATGTGAGTCTTGCTGAGACTCGCAGCCCAGCTGAGGACTCTAAAACTCACTAACAGGATGGAATCGATCTTGGAGAAGTTTCTAGTTTCAGCTCACTGGAACGACCAAGCCAATTTTGGATAATTGGGAACTGAGATGTAGCAGAGAGACTTTAGGGAAGATTGAAATTTATAATCCTCCCGACTTAAGACAATCTATATCTGAATTGGGTTTCTCCATCTTGCTTTGGAAGGGCTGCATATTTCCAATCTCCTTGAAGATATGTAAACACAACGCTCTTCCCACCTCACCCCCTCCTGTATCCATGCAGCTGTGGAGCTGAGCGCTCCCAACGACGTTCCTAGATAACAACACCTCTATCGGACTTCTACCGGGAGGCTGAGCAACATGGTTTCATGGCCCTGTGACGTCACCGCCTTCACTCATGTTTTGCCCTTTGTTTTGTCTGAATGTTGCTATGTGCCCTAATGTGTCCTTTCCTCTTTTTATTTAATTCCCCTTTTATTATTTAGAAACTGTGGAGTACTCACTTTTAATCCAGAGAAGGAATTAGATTAGTCACTTATTTTTTTTAGAAACTGTACTCACTATTTAAACCAATATTTAAGTTTTTAAATTATTATGCAGAGAGACTCCTATTACTGCAACCCAGAAAAAAAAATCTTCCAGTACAGGAATATTTAGTTTTTATAATACTTAGAAATCGTGGAATACTCATTACAAATTTGGAGCATACTTAGAAAGTCCAGAGAATATTTACTTAAACTTATCTAGCAACCCAGAACAGGGATTAGATTAGAACAAACTTACAACCCAGAAAAAGTACCTTAGCAACAACGGCGTAAATCCCATCTCATTATTGGGGGGGTCCATCAACAGGGAAAGTTTTTAAGAGCAATTTTGGAGAGGTCGGCAAAGTTACAATAAAATGTAATGTAAAATGTGGTTTAATTTTTTTTGTGTGTGT